CCCAAGCCGGAATTAAGATTGCCGGAAGAAATATCAACAACCTCCGATATGCAGATGATACCACTCTGATGGCAGAAAGTGAGGAGAATTAAAGAACCTTGTAATGAGGGTGAAAGAGGAGAGTGCAAAAAACGGTCTGAAACTCAACATCAAAAAAACTAAGATCATGGCCACTGGCCCCACCACCTCCTGGGAAATAGAAGGGGAAGGTATGGAGGCAGTGACAGATTTTACCTTCTTGGGCTCCATGATTATTGCAGATGGAGACAGCAGCCACGAAATTAAAAGACGCCTGCTTCTTGGGAGGAAAGCGATGACAAATCTTGACAGCATCTTAAAAAGCAGAGACATCACCTTGCCAACAAAAGTCCAAATAGTCAAAGCTATGGTTTTTTCTGTCGTGATGTATGGAAGTGAGAGCTGGACCATAAAGAAAGTAGACCGCCAAAGAATTGATGCCTTTGAATTGTGGTGCTGGAGGAGACTCTTGAGAATCCCCTGGACTGCAAGGAGAACAAACCTATAAATTCTAAAGGAAATCAACCCTGAGTGTTCACTGGAAGGACAGATACTTTGGCCATCTAATGAGAAGAAAAGACTCCCTGGAAAAGACCCTGATGTTGGGAAAGTGTGATGGCAAGAGGAGAAGGGGACGACCGAGGATGAGATGGCTGGACAGTGTCTGCGAAGCAACCAACATGAACTTGATGCAACTCTGGGAGGCAGTGGAAGACAGGAGGGCCTGGCGTGCTCTGGTCCATGGGGTCACGAAGAGTCGGACACGACTAAACGACTAAACGACGAGCTTTGCTGAAGCTAATATTGTAAATTTTAATACAATGCCATTTTATCTTTATTCATTTTAACATTTCACTTACGTTTTGTCCTTTCTAATATTTAGTAGTGTCTTTTAATATAAATATGCATTTGGATGGAACCTTAACAAAAAAAGATATTCCTGTACAGACCCTTTTTACAGTTTTAAACTTTTTAAAAAGCTTATGTGTTTTCACATTTATATTCATTATGGCTATGATGGTTGAACTAACAACAAAGACTGTTAACTACAACATAATGTCTTGGATCCAGCATTTCATCTTACTGAAGAGATAGTGGCTGAAACCCTGTTTTGTACAAGTCTGCTGTGGAAAGGCTCCTGTGGAATCCTCTTCATCTTTGGGAAGGTTTAGAGGGACTAAGAAGACAAGTGGAATGTCTTTAATTTCCCCCTCTCCTTACACCTCTCAGCATTACTCACTACGCTATTCTGACAATAACAGAATTCTCTGTTGACAGCCTGATAGAAGTAGCAGTACAACAGAACAAATGTTATATTAGGGAGAAAAAATTCAAAATACAAATCCTGTTTCTTCAAAAGTCAATGAGATGGCTCCTACTAAAATAAAATCAAAGTGCAAAATTAGTTTTGGCTGAAGTCAGTATTACATTAACTTAATAAACTTGCAAATCAGTTCCTTCTGTGAGCAAAGGTACTGCAATATGGACTCTAAAAGTCAGAATCCTATTGTTTATTTACACCTGCATAAGTGTAATTGTGTAAGTCACAGCTACTAATTGCCACTAATTTATGAGTTGCAGTTCACAGGCCTAGTTGCATACCAGGCATGCAACTTGGCATGTGACTAGTAATGTGAGCAGTAACTTATTAATTAACAGCAACTCACTGCCACAATTTATGCAGTTAACCTTATGCTAGTGTAAATTTATAATAGGATTCTAGCCATAGAATTCATGTTTTATTATAAAGTGTCACCTGTGATATGCACAAGCTCATTTGCAAAGAAGCTGTTCTTACCTAAAAGGTATTTCTGTTTAAAATTAGTTCTGTATTATCTTGTCTTAGGACAGCCGCATTTCTGGAGGATATGAGAATGTTCCAACTGATGACATTCACATGAAGCAAGTCGGGCTGGATCATGTGTGGATACATTTTATTAGAGAATTTATAGCACCTGTGACATTGAAAGTATTTGCTGGTTACTATACAAAGGTAAGTGGGAACTGGTATTAAATGTAAAGTGCCTTGTTCGGTTAAGCATTGGAGTGTGCACAGCTTTGGCCCCAGTGATGATAATGAATTTGAGATTCTGGCATTCTTACAGACAGCAATTCCACCAGGCTCAACAGATCCTTATTTGTTTAGTCTCTTTCCTAAATGTGGCTCATATAAGGTCGCAAACACATACAGCATGAAAAGAAAGTGTATGGGATAATAGTTCTGTACATTCTTCCCATCGCCCAATCCAAGCTTCTATTTCTGCCCTGTGCAGATTGCTCATGCCCTGTAGTGGAAGTGATTATCCATTATCATCACCAATGTTGTGTCTCATATTTAGAAAACATTTTACATGCTGTACAGCTGTGGTTGTTTTAACTTGCCATCTGCTGACCCTACCTCTTAAAGAAAAGAAGAGAAAAGAGAGAGATTGGAAGTAGGAGATATTACACAAGCTGGGATGGGTGGTTTATGTAAAATAAAAGTAAAAGAAGCTAAACTATACATACTCAGTGTCTTAAAGAAAGTGTTTGATGGGATATTTTAGAATAAGGTATTTCCTATTATTTCCTTCCAGGGCCATGCTTTGCTGAATTTTGTTGTGAAATACACTACTGACAGACAGCGTTCCCTCAGACCTCATCATGACGCATCTACTTTTACAATTAATATTGCTCTGAACAAAGTAGGAGAAGATTTTCAGGTGATTTTTGGAGCACAACCAGTTTGGATTATTTAAACCCTTCCGTTTCTTGAATTAGTCTCCATAAAAATAGTTCTCCCACCTCTACTTATAGAACCTAAGTAAGAAACTGGTATATTTTGAGTTAGAAAACTGGTATATTTTGGGTTAGAAAACTCTTTTTTCCTGGATAGGAGTGATGGATGTTGTAGTCCAATATCTTTGGAGGGAGCCAGGTTTGGGTATGCTGGTGTAAAGCTAGTTGCTAATACTTAGACTAGAAGAACTTGAAGATGTTGATGAGTAAATGATATCTACTATGCCATTTACACATGGGTTGATGCTCACATACCAGTCCAGAATCTTCTCATGTGACTAGTAATGTGAGGCCATATCAGGGCAAGGACATGTAATGGAATGGGAGCCCCCAACAGAGATTTCATTTCAGATAAGATGCATTGCTTATCAAAGTCAATATACTTGTTTCAGAATGTAATGGTAACATGGGTTATTATTATGGCTTTCAAGAGACTTTACATTGATCAGTTTTCACAGATTTTGATACAACTGCTTAAAGATCTAAAACTTTGCTTCTGGTTCTCTTATAGGGAGGTGGATGTAAATTTTTGAGGTACAACTGTTCAATTGAATCACCCAGGAAAGGATGGAGTTTTATGCATCCAGGAAGACTTACTCATTTACATGAAGGACTTCCAATCTTGAATGGAACAAGATACATTGCAGTATCTTTCATTGACCCTTAATTTTATTTCCCCACTGGCTTACAGACAACGTTTGGCAATCTATGACAAACTCTTATTTATAATTCTTCTCCCAGAAGATGGTGACAAAAGAAGCTTCTTCAAGACAGCTGCTTTACTTTGGGCTAAAATATTGGGGAAGGGAGAGAAATCAAACACTTCCAAGCATCTGCTCTGAGCCTCAAGTTACCAAGTAGAAGACATTTTAATTCCTTTCCTTTTCTGTTTGAAAGGGAGAGGAATTCCCTTGATTTGCAGACAATCGGTAAAGCTTTTCCATGTGGATATTCCATTCATTACATCATGAAGATCAAGTATTTATCTTGATGAAAGAGGATCATTTTTGATAACATATTTTTATATGAAAGAAATGTATCACAGATTAATGAGAATCATTGCCAAAAAAGTACATGTGAATTATTCAGGTACTATAGAATGCCTTTAAAAGAAGACCAAATCCTCCTAGAATTATCTTCTGCACACCAAGTGTGGTTTGATTAACATGCGTTATACTGAAAATACTTTTTTTCCTTTTTTTGCACCAGCTGGGGGCTGGCAATCCAAGTCCTCTTTTGAAAACTTTCTAATACCAAGTTGTCTTGGAAACCAAATTTTCTATTCTTATTTAAAGCTACTTGAATTTTATAATAGGAGATCAGAAAAGTTTCTCATTTTTTTAAAAAAATACAAGCGGGTTTTTTAACTTGCCTTTGTTTTTTAAGGGCTCAGTTTTAAATAATTCCTGCTGTGCCTACTGTTTGTAATTTACACTTGAAGAAAAAAAATGCTGAAATCATGAAACCTGAGGTGCTAACATGCACATATTTTTTAAAACATGTGGAAAAAATAAAGAAATCTTAAATTAAGATAAACTTTTCATGTCTTTGCTTTGAAAATTGTGTGTGTGTGTGTGTGTGTGTGTGTGTGTGTGTGTGTGTGAGAGAGAGAGAGAGAGAGAGAGAGAGAGAGAGAGAGAGAGTTTGGAAGTATATTGTGTTTTTAAAATTGTTAAAATAGTTTGATGAGTTTGTATAAAGGACTGCATGTCTTGCATGGTTTCATTCATTGTCAGTTTTATGGAAAAATGCTTGTTTTGATTCTAGACCACAGTAGAAAAGGTCTAATAGTCTAGTCTGCTCAAAGCTGAGTGGTTGTGGAATTTCTTGTTTCCTACATTAGTTTTACAGAACTGGGTTTTGTTTCCTGATGCCTGTAGGGAGGCGTCCTCATACAAAGGGGAAAATAATCAAAATCAAGATGTTACCTTTTTAAAAAATGGCTACAACTTCCAGAATCACCTAGCCGGTGCTGTCGTAGCTCAGTGGTTTACGTTTCTGGCTGTGGAACCAGAGGTTGGGAGTTCAGTTCCCCACTGTGTCTCCTTGACAGGGGATCAACTCTTAATGATCCATAAGTTCCCTTCCAACTCTTCAGTTCTAAGATGACAATGATGATAATGATTTCAGCTTCCAATTTCCTTCACTGGTGGTTCCGTGTCTGAGGGCAAGCCATAAATACGAACAATCATGTAATCTCTATATTTCAGGTTGGCAAGAATTATGGTTCTATTGACACCTTATTGGCTGAAATACAGTAATGTTGCAGCTAGAGTAAGCCCACTGAATCTGTGGGGATTTGACAAGTCAACACCCGTGTAAGTTCCATTGACTCAATAGGCCTACTGTAGTTGCAACTTATACTGGATTTCAGCCCTTGTACTAAAACAGTAAAACACAGGGCAACACTCAATAGCTGTTCCATAACTGCTTTCCCATTAGAATTTAAGCACCCATGGCATGTGTCCCATGCCTAAGCAACTGACCCCCACAAGATAGAGAAAACAAACAAGCAAAAAAAAAAGCAACAGAAAGTATTATACGTATATCAATTTAAACCAAATGCTCTGCCTTAGAACAAATTCTTACTAATTTTCTTTCTGAAATTCGTCACTTTGTGGAAGAACATGTATATATGTGCACTGAATTTTGCAGGGTTTTCCTTCTGTCTGCATTCCCTTTGACATCTTTGATCCAAAGGTGTTCTTTTTCCATGTTCTTTTTCAAAGAACATGGATGACGGGAATGCTGCTGGGATTTGGTAGACTTGAAGTTCCCTTGATCCCTCTGTAATTTAGTGACAGTAATGTAGAACATAAGTCTTATTTCTTATTCAGCTTGGCCGTTTATTTTCCACGACACTTACAGTTAGCAGAAGAACTCTACACTGGTCTGGACAAATTTCTTAAATGCAAATACTGCTAAATGACTGGCCTCTTTTGAGGAAATATATGCTGTACCTTTGCAAATTATGGGACTCAGAAGCATCCATGATTTCTCACACTGAAAACTACCTTTGTGTAATGAGGTAATTTCCAGCCAAATGGACTCTTGTGCTTGCACAGTATGATGTGCCTTGTCTAAATGAATTATTGTGTTTTTTTTTTAAATCTGCAGCACATAAAGTTCTTCACATTCCTTTCGTAAACACCCATGGTTGACCACTGAGGTAACAGTCTAAAATTATCTGGGGTGTGTGCATGTATGTGTGTAATTACATAGTATAGGATGTATTGTTTATATTCTCTTTTGTATGCAGTCATTCAGATCTTCACAATAAGGATTCTGAACCACAGATCCAAATGTACACTAGCAGAAGAACACTGCACTGGTCTGGATAGATTTCTTAAATGCAATTACTGCCAAATGACTGGCCACTTTTGAGGAGATATATGCTGTACCTTTGCAAATTATGGGACTCAGAAACATCCATGATTTCTCATACTGAAAACTACCTTTGTGTAATGAGGTAATTTCCAGCCAAATGGACTTTTGTGCTTGCACAGTATGATGTGCCTTGTCTAAATGAATTATTGTGTTTTTTTTTTAAATCTGCAGCACATAAAGTTCTTCACATTCCTTTCGTAAACACCCATGGTTGACCACTGAGGTAACAGTCTAAAATTATCTGGGGTGTGTGCATGTATGTGTGTAATTACATAGTATAGGATGTATTGTTTATATTCTCTTTTGTATGCAGTCATTCAGATCTTCACAATAAGGATTCTGAACCACAGATCCAAATGTACACAGTAGGCCACGTACGTACTGCATCCTCAACAAGTAGACCATCATGTTGTGATTTGCACTCTGAAGCAGGGCCTGGATCATCAATAAATCCTTTCTTTATTTGCAGGAACAGTAAATGCAAAGGGCAAACCATGTAAATGTATGATATCCCCTCTCTACAAAGAACTATGAGGCAGGGAGCCACAGTGCCGGGCTCCTTCTCAACAGAGCAAATACCTTGTCCTCCAAAACAACTTCGAAAGCTTCTAGAGCAGTGGTCCTCAACCTTTGGCCTCCAGATGTTCTTGGACTTCAACTCCCAGAAATCCTGGCCAGCAGAGGTGGTGGTGAAGGCTTCTGGGAGTTGTAGTCCAAGAACATCTGGAGGCCCAAGGTTGAGGACCACTGTTCTAGAGGACCTGCCTCCTGAGGCATTCTGCATTCACAACTTTATCATCCCATGTCCTGCATCAATGATTTTTTAACCTGTAGTGCTTAATAACCCAGATTATTTTGAACTCTTTCCAGGGAAAATGAGATACATTATTTCAAACCATATGAAGTTCCTTAGAAATGCTTGTTATTCAGCTATTTCTGTGGCACTGGATTACCCCACAGAAAAGGAAGACAATGGCCCAAATTCCATTGCTTAGCATACTGAAAGGCACTAGAGTAGGCCCATTGAATCCATGGGGATTTGGTAAATCAACTATGTAAGTTCTATTCTTTTAAATGGGCTTACTCTAACTGACTTACTTTAGCATAGCAAATCACATAGTAGGCCCATTTGAATCAATGGAACTTATGGAGGACTTGACTCATGAATTCAGTGGGCCTTCTGTAGTGTGATCTACTGCATTAAGCAATCTTTGGGCAATGTTGACTAAGTAACAAGAGGAAAAGAAGGGAAAAGAGACACTGGAATAACCTAAACTAGCTGACTTGTTTAACTGGCTTTTATTTCCCCCATCGTCCATTTGTTCAAGAAAATGTTTTAAAACATTACTAGACTATATGGCAAGAATCTTTTTAGGAGCATCTAGAACTTAAATGTCTATTTCATAGGTGATGTAAGCCATTTATTATTTAGGTGTGTGGTGACTGGTGCTAGTCATGGGTTTATTTTACCTGTATATTTATATCCAGTACTTTTTTTACAGTTTAAGTAGATTTTGTGTTTTTGCTCTGTCTATACCTCTATGTAAGCATGAATGCACTCACACAGTTTTAAAGGCTGAATATATACTACCTTGGTTTACCTTAGCTTTAGAGTGACCACATAAATGAATTAAGAGCCATCCAAAAGGTACTCTTGAATGTAATGCAAACATGGCCTCTTCTATATTTATTTGAAATCTTAAAGAAAAAAACTAAAATATAGTGTCAGGAATAATATTTCTATTTAGAGACTTTGAGAATCAGAAATAAAATCCTGTCTAACTTTTAAGAAATTGTTTTCTTTCCAAATAGAAAAGTTTCATTGTTTCCACAGGAGTGGATGAATGGAACCATTACATGACCAAATTCCCAAAAAAGGTGCAGCAGGGGTATATTTCAAGAACCACAACTATTTGGCTCTGTTTATTTCTGCTACCTGTCTATTTTTGCTTGGTTTATTTTGAATAAATTTGAAGTATTTTTATGTTCCCTTGGTTTAATTGTGAGAAAACTTAAAGTATGTCTAACTCTCCCACTTGAGTCACCGTACTTTAATGTCTTGCAGCTTTGGCTGCATTGTACTGCAGTTTTCGGTAAATGAGCTTAAAACTGAATGGTGAGGATTTATGTGTTTAACTCTGTGACCCTTAGCAGCTTTATTTACTCCTCCCTGGATGTGTTTATATTTAATCCATACACATGGTTCAGCTGTTGGAAAGTCACTTCTGAATCAGAATCAGACATAGTTTGGATTCATTTTAACTAGGATTAAGACATGTGAAATACATTTCCAGAATAATGTATGAGTGAAAAGGAGTGAAGCACACAATTCTGCAGTCTACCAGATTTTTAAAGCAGTGTGAGAACCGATGCCCTTCCAAACGCTTTGCCCTTGCATTACCCCCACTTGGCATGACCAGTGTGGGGGAGGAATAGTGGAAATTACTGTTTACGACATCTAGAGGCAAAAGGCTCCCTACCTCTGACTCGCATCTTCACCGTGCTCTTTAAAAGGAATATCTCATGTCAGTGGTTCCCAACTTTGCACAACCCAGGTGTTCATGGACTGCAAATCACATGACACATAGGCACTGGTGAATCCACCCAACCCTGTTCAGTATCCAAGCTGTGCCTTTTGGTGCAGGAACCACTGCCCTAAGTAACAATTTGCCTTTAGGAGACACAGTAAAGGGTGTGATCAGATGGAATGATAGCTTGTATTTTGGACCATTTGTGGCATGGTTCAATGCGAACCGTTTTTGAGCAATCACATGACACATAGGCACTGGTGAATCCACCCAACCCTGCTCAGTGTCCAAGCTGTGCCTTTTGGTGCAGTGGCAGGGCTACTCTGTTTGAAGGCTGGGGTGGCTGGAGCAATTCCTGTACAGACAGAAAGGCAATTGTGAGGGAGATAACTCTCAGCAATACGATCCTTTCCAGCACAAACAGGCACATTTCTTCTCACCATCTCATCACACCTTAAGCATGTTTGAGTACATATATAACAAGTAAATTGGATGTAGGTGTAAAAGATGTGAAAGAAATAACAAAATTCCCATAAAATGCATAATACTCCAAACAGATCGACCTCTTTTATTCTGAAAAATA